GAGAGAAGGCGCTAAATCGAGAGAAACTCAAAAAAACCGTATAGCGTTTTGATCGTAGATCATCTCAAGCTGCTCGGCCGAGCAAACGCAGCAGCCACTGGTGTAGAGCACCTCCTGAGCCGCCGGCGAGTTTACCACCGCCTGCAGCAGCTCCTGTCTGTTGAGCCTCCCCAGATTCCCGCCTCCCACCGACGCCGCCGCCCCCTGAAGACACTGGTCGCGGCAGGGCATCGACCGGAGCACGCCGACCTGCGCCTCGAGGAACCTGATGTACTTGTGCGTCTCCTCCAGCACCTCCGCCGTGTCCATCCTCTTGTACGACGGCAGCAGCTTCTGGAGGAGCCTCGCCTTCTCCGCCACCGTCGACCGCCGCCGCGGCTGTTGTTGTGCCCTAGCTTTGCGAAATCGGTTGGCGATCGGGAATCCGGACTCCAGTCCGGCGGCGGTATCGAGGGAGTCGAGATCCGGCAGTCTACCGACGCGGAAAGGAGGAGGCGCCGCCTTATCGGGAAAGGAGGTGAGAGGCGCGCGGAGGACGCCGTCGTACGTGGCGAGGGGGGCGCTGTCGAGTAGGGAGCGGAAGTTTAGGCCGGCCTGGACTCCTCTAAAGTACGCATCCTCGACGCTGGTGGAGGCGTAGCCGTCGGGGAATGCCGGTGGGTGCATCTGGAACAAGAACTGTGGATCCATGAAAATGGCGAGGACGAAAAATGAGAGTTCTGTTTCGAAATTTATAGGCTGGGGAGCGAGGGGGACACGTGCCGGTTCGTGAGTGGTACAAAACGGTGCTGACCGACACGTGTCGGTAGCAGTTTCGTCGTTTTTGCCTGACGATTTTGTCTGTACTTGCGGCTACGAAACGACGTCGTCAGAAGTTGTTACAGCTGTTTTGAATGTGCAGCCGTTGGATGGACCAGGGGAGCTTGATCGGACGGACAGGAATTGAGATACAGAGAGCGCGTGTAGTGATGAGCAGAGATTGTCGGAGAAAACGACGGTTATAGTAATTTACATGTACATCCCTGGTTTAAAGAAGACTAATTATATGTGTGCTATTGTGTAGGGGTAGTAAAGTAATAAACATGACGCAACTCAAATGATTTTCTGTACTGGTTCACACACGAAGGGCATGAGCCCTAATATTTGAACATTATCATCATTA